TGTTGCCATCTAGCCTGTGATAGTTTCCTTTACAATGAGAACAGACCCGGTAATAAAATTCATTTAGCCCCATTGGATAGAAGATGATTGCATGTGTGGAATTTCGCAAGTGGTGCATGGATCCCAAGACTATTTTCACCTTTTAACTCAGAATGATCATATTTAGCCCTTTCTAATTCAATAACTTAATTTAAGTACATGTGCTGAAGCCATCAAAATGAATAGAACCTTACAAAGTCAAAAGGAAAAGAAAATATGGCCAAAGAAGGAAGGTGAGCAAAAGTTCTGCAAAGTGTAGCATAATCTATCAGAATAAATATTAATCCCATTAGATTAAGAAAATGTAATTTGTGCTTTTCGAGAGAAAACAGAAGTAAATATAATGTGTATTCACACCTACTCCAACCATAGAAACAGAGAAAATATGAAATAAAAACTTACACCATGAAATAGGAATATGGAAAGTTCAAAGTAGCATACCTCAGCTTGCTCCTGTTGCACTTTAGCTTGCTCTAATTCCTGCTGCATCAATGCAAATTTACGCTTTTCTGTCATTAGCTCTTCCTGAAATGAGGATCTCTGCTTTTCCCATGACTGAAACTTCATTTGGGCATTCTTTTCCCTCCTTGAGACCTCTTGACAGCTTGCTGCTGATTCTGCAGCACGTAACTTAGCATCCTTCATTTCTCTCCTCAATGCTGCATTCTCCACCTCAAGCTTTCGGACAGCAGCATTAGCTCGCTCCACCTGTCCACTAGCTTTACACAGGGCATTTTCCATCTCTGAGAGCTTCTTCATAGTGTTTTCCTCCAGAGTTTTCTTCTCTTTCTTTAGACGTTCAACTTCCTCTTTCTCCTGCCTTAGTGTCTTAAGTTCAGCCTTGTCCTTACTCAGCCAACGAGCAGCCTGCATAACCTTTTGATTGGCCCACTCAGTCCACTCTTGAAGCTGATTTTGGAGCTCTTGTACCCGAGGAATCCAATTTCAAAATCATCTCATCCTTCCTATCCTGGGGTCGCTGCCCCAAGGACTTCTCATATGTTATCCCCGTACAAGAATTATGAGATGCCTCGGTATTGCAGTTGACAGGCATTGTAAAAGATTTGCTTTTTGATGACAACGAAAGAGAAAGATCAGTATCAGTTGTTAATAATGTAGTTGGGTTACTCGAGGCAGGAAAATTATTGATTGCTTGTTGTGATGAAGTACTGGACTTAGAGGAACCAGAAATGGCATCAGGAGAATCAACACTAAGTGCAGTAGAGGTAGATGGTCCAGCATTAGGTGACAAATTAGGGCCAAGATTGTCTTGGGTCACATCAACTCCCATTGCCTTGCTTATCTTTAAAGATGCACTCTTCAAGTTAATGGCAGTAGAGTCCGACACAGATTTCAGTTTTCTATCTAAGATTAAGCCGCTCAGCTTCCCTCCTCTTGAAGATCCTTTAGATCCATAAGTGCGATTACTTAATGATTTCTGTCGAAAAATGTAATCCCTCTTGATGCTACCAGAATGTACTTTTCTAACACTTCCTAACTTTTCTTCCACCATGGGAGATCGGGAGGATCCAGCAGTACAGAGTCCCTTATCTACAGAATCAGGCCTCACATCAGTGCCCTCTTTCTCTGAGAAGCCACCAAGAGTTGGAGTATTCTTTGAGTTGTTCACGCCAGGAACTCCTGCTACAAATAATGTCTCAGGTTGAGAATTGAGAGAACCTGATGAAATTGGATTACTGGGACTTGGAAGACTCAATTGAGAGCTTTTTATCTCTGATTTTAACTGTGAATCAGTTTGGGTAGGGGAACACCCACAGGCAATGCCATCACTAGCTAAGATACTCAAAGGGTCACCATCCATTGCACATGCATGTGACACATTCATGTCGCAAATTAACAAACACCACAATGCATCCCCAGTACTGAAAAATGGCCTGACCTCTCGAAGAACACAAACCAATTCAGCTAATATATACTTCTCAAGCTGCTGCAAATCTTCAAAAAAGTGCTCTCTTGAAGGGTCAATCTCTTGTTCATTCCTAAGAAATGCTAAAGTGTTATCAACAATGTTAGACACTGCATCTTTGCATCCATAACAAATGCCAGACCTTAAGATGGACTTTGTGGCAACTTCTTCAGTGTAGCCACACGCAACAATTCTTTTTATTGCACTCTTGAAAATGGTGTCCAAATTGCTCAAAACAAGTTCTTCCAATTGAGCTTCTGTAAGATCACTCCAATCAGCTTCATGGAACTCATCTGCCTCTAGATCCTCCTTCGGTTGGCCAGACCCAGCATTAGATGAACCTACAGGACTAGACAATCCAAGGTCAAGTTTCAGTCCATCAGAACGATCTTGGTTAAATCTACACAGGCCACAAGCACTGACTTGCCCTTGCCCTGGGGTAATTTCAAGTTTCTCAGCAGAAAATTCATAATTGAGACATTCATTTTGAGGTGAGGGCATAATCTTAATTGGTTCCCCTAAAGGTAGATCAGCCCTAAATTTTCTCTTATTCCTACTTCCTTTTTCTTGGACAGAAACTGAAGGAGATATTTGACTGCTTCCAGTGGCAACTAATGATGCCATTTTAGCTGCAGAAAAGAAACAGAAAAATCTATGAATAAACTTATCAATTTTATTCACAAGCACCTATTATCATTCAATACCCAAAACACGTTCCAACTTCCATGATTTCAAAAAGAAGGCCAAATTTATATTTTCTGTTGCTCAATAGAGTGCACTAGTTGGTATACATTCGAATAGAATAATTTGTCCTCTAATCACTAGAAGAAATTATGAGGGGTCTATATTATCCGCATAGTTATTTATCTTTTCTTAATCTTAAAATTGCAGGGACATTGATCTAATGGAAATGAAACGAACAAAATTATACTGATAAATAAATTAGCGACACAAGAATAAACTTATCAATTTATTCACAAGCACCTATTATCATTCAATACCCAAAACACGTTCCAACTTCCATGATTTCAAAAAGAAGGCCAAATTATATTTTCTGTTTGCTCAATAGAGTGCACTAGTTGGTATACATTCGAATAGAATAATTTGTCCTCTAATCACTAGAAGAAATTATGAGGGGTCTATATTATCCGCATAGTTATTTATCTTTTCTTAATCTTAAAATTGCAGGGACATTGATCTAATGGAAATGAAACGAACAAAATTATACTGATAAATAAATTAGCGACACAAGATCAGTTGTACTGATAAATAAGCTAGCAGAATAATATTATTTTGATGCACAAAGGAGATGGAGAAAAACCGAAATCGCGGCCAAAAAGAATAACAGACACATGAGGATTAACATTGACTGGTTCTTTCAGCAGAAAGCCAACAACATTACCCACTATAATGAATAAAAGAAGTGATAAAAACACTCAATTCAAGGGCACTGCATGCATCAAATGAGTCAAATCATTTTACCTTCAAATTTCAGTATTGAAATTTACAATATCCAGCTTCCTGAAGCGTTCAAATGAATAAAATAAATATTAAATCAAAGAACCAACAACAACAATAATAATAAGCCCACTGACCATAACAGAAACATATCCAGCAATTGAAGCGGTGAGAGGGTACACAGTTTACACAAATTTAAGTTTTAAGAGCATGAAAACGGATTCAATTCCAGCACAGAATCCAGACTCCGAACGCACCCACAGATCAGAAAAGTGATCCAAGCAGAATATGTTTTCATTAATATTAGAACATACGCAGAAGATCCACAATAGAAGTGGAAGAAGCCGAGGGTTATGATCAGTATCAAACGATCGAAGCTATCCGATTACTGCAATTGTTTGAGCAACCGAAGGTAGGATCTGTATTACAAATTTAGAACATTGGAGGGTCAGATAATATATCTCTTTTTTCCTTTTTTTTTTTCCCCCTTCTTTCTTGTGCTGAATTTTGGTTCTCCGGAGGCTACGCCTGTCTGAGGGGAAAAGATCCCTAAAGCGTCATTAGTAGAATGCCGACCGTCGGATCAGACAAAATCAGAAGATCTTGCCGCGTGTCAAACTAGGGCCGTTTGATTTCTTGAACGAACCAGATTAAATTACTGAACCACGGCTTAAGTATTAAGATATTTTTAATTTTTTTAGTTTTATTGATGTCCCCCTTATTTTGTTGAATTATTTAATTAAAAATATTACATATCTTTTTGAAAACATAATAAATATATAATTTATTATAAATATTATTATACTTTAGAGATATGCATGAACTCTATTTACTTTGTTCATGACATTGATGGATCAGTGTAATATTAAATAATCTTGGCTATTTATTTTGCCTTCTATTCATGAATCCAAAAATTAATACATTTACATCCACAAAATACATTAAGAGTGCTTTTAATTTAGATGAATATACATTATAACATAAGAATAGATACATTGAACCATTTAGGTTAATATTTCATAATTGGATACTTATGAATAAAAATGTTATCCAAAGCATGGTAAACAAATATCCTAAATGAATTAAAGGAATATCCCACATTTCTCATATCTAAAATTCATTCTTGCTCTTAAGGAGTGGTTTTATATTTTCATTAATTTTATAATGTGCCCACCAATCAAATTCACATATCATGAAAAAAAAAATTTGTTTTTTGTCATTACAAATAGTATAACTCATTATCCATACTTTTGTATAAAGCATGAAAAATTGTGTCTGGTTGACCTGATTAGTCCATTATAAAGAGAAATTATACTCTTTCAAGTAACCATGATTATAAAATTTTAAAAAAATAAATTACATTATTTATAATTTATAAATAATGTGATATATACTGGATTTTTCCCATCAATTTATGTTGATTGATTTTGCCTCCATTGTAATTCATGATTTCACGGATTAATATTGATGATAAAATAATATTCACATTAATATATTGATGTCATGACCAAAATAACGATATTATCAGGGTCCATACCATAGAAAGAAAGAAAATCGCTTACAGCTATCGATCAGCATTGGGCCGAAGGGCAGGGCCAGGCAGCTACAATGGATGAAATTCAATCAGAACCAAACCAGCGCAAAGCCACTCCGCCGCCACCTACTCCGCCGCAACCCCTTCACCAGAGTGACGCAGACGAAGAAGATGAGAACGTGAAGCAGCTGGATGGCTGCGCTTCCCACTATCTTTCAATGCAGGTCCTTCTGCAACCTCCTGTGATTATGACGTTTTTTTTTTCCTTGTTGCTTTCATAAAACCCTAAACCCTGATTTAGGGATCGATCAAACTTGAATTTTTGACGAAAACATCGTCCTTAATTCGCAGGAATGCATCGCTAATTCAAACAGGGATTGGAAAGCCTGCCAGGCGGGTATATCTCGCCGACTCTATATGCTCAGTTTGCTGATATCGTAGAATCGTTTCGCTTGAATTCAGATAATTTTAAATTATCATAAGAAAGATTATTCTTTGAATCATTCTATAATGTTAACCTACTTGTGTTCAATGGCGGCATCAACGAAATAGTAATATCTATCACTGCGACCGGACGGGCCTTTGATTATCTTGCAGTATATTTTTCAGCTCCACTTCATTTCTCCAGGAAAAAAATTCTCAATAGTTTAGTCATCTGGAGAGTGAATATAGATGCATCGATCTAATTTAAATGTTTAATCATATACCCAAGAACCTCTGTTTATAGGATTGTTGTGTTTCACTTTTTACATTTTTCCGCTGGAAAATCAGCCTGCTTTGCTTTAAGTCAGTTGAGTTTTTGTTTTCCACTCCACAGAAGTGCAAGCTCTGAAGGCGTGCATGGAGAAGAGAAGGGGTAACAAATAGAGATGAGAATTCTGCAGAGAAGGGATTCTAGCGGGAGTGATCTGCTCTGCTTCTGGGATGGAAGTGAGAGAATAAAATGTGAAAAATGGAATCTGTGTACTATTCAAAGACGTTGATCTCGTAATTGCATCCATAGCCTTGCCCTATTATTACCTGGCATTTGATTGCTGCAAATAAACTCTGCTCCCTGCCCAAGGCGAAAATGAGACGGATCTTGAGATATTACGAAATTTTGGCAACAGAGATGAGTCATTATGTAGAATTCAATTCCTTGATTGCTCTGATCTAAAGAAGTAAAGATTTTTCGTCATTGGTATTTTGTTAAGTATCTTTTATGAACACTTTTTCACACGAGGCGCCTGGCGGCAGGCATGAGGGATTTATGGCAATTTTGGTTCTTTCATGTGCTGCTCTACAGTCCGCTGTAAGATGGTATAGTGGTCCCAGAGCCATCAAAACACAAAAGACTTTAACGCCACCTCAAAACCAGTCACCTTCAAGAAAATAACATCCAAATATAAATCAATTTGTGATGAAATTAATCTTACTCCCAATCAAATGAAAAAAAAAAAATCAAGTCTTCCTCAAATCCTATTATGATTATCAAAGGTATTTAAATTAGCTTTTTAAATGTAATTTACGAAATTTGAAATAAGTATGTAAAAAAATTTTTGTTTTAAATTATTCAAGTGCTTTCTTATTCAAACGCACAAGTACTAACACCAAAACTATGTTTTGAATGGGCGAATGCCACCCCAAACATGTGTTTTTTTTTTTTTTTTGAGTTGGAGTGTGCATGTTTAGCCGTAAAATCCACTTTTGTACTTGTCTGTTTCTCGCCTCCATTGTAATTCAGACTTATTTGAGGGATATATGGATGACAAATAACAAAAGACAACACGCAACGCATCTCCTTTGGACTGATCCTCATCATCAACAATACCCGAAAATAAGCGAAGCCATTCATACTACCAGTATCAGCTTTGCTTTACAAACGATAGCAACCCAAAAAAAAAAAGAAAACCTTCAGAGGGACAATACACATCTCCTAACCCTCTCTCATACATGGCTAGAGAATGAATTGTTAATTTCCACGAATATCATCTAAAACCAGAAAAGGCGAGGAAAATTCATATAAAAGAAAGCAAAAGGCTTCCATGAAGGACGAACGTGAAATGACTCTATGAGAAAGAGAGAGAGGTGGCAAGGATTTGAATTAAAAAACTAAGCCTTCTTAGATGGCCAGATATTCCCTATTATTGTGCATCACTAATTGTAACCTGCGTTCTACACAACCCGGGAAAAGGAAAGGAGGAAAAACAGAAGAAAATAACAGAAGATGATCCTGTTGAAAAACAGTTGGATGTTAGCACGCTAATAGCCAAAACCAACTTGAAAATGGTAATTACAGTAAGTACAAGCCCTATGGCCCCTTGTGATTTATTTTCTCATTTCCCACTGCCACCACCGAGGAAGAGACTTCTTAGAAGCTAGGTTGCTAGAGACATCGTCAACAGGAGGTGCTGAGAAGCCCTGAGCAGAAATACGACCCAAACTTTCAGCGTTCGCAGCATTCATATACTCTGTGCTTTGATCAGGATTCTGCTGTAAAGTAGGTTAAACACCACGAATAAGATTGAAGAAATACACAATCGACAACCATCTTAGTTTAGGACCTGCAAAATAGCATTAGATAGGATGAGAACTGACCAACTGGTAGATAACTCGTTGACCATAGAATGGAGTTGAGTTGAATCCGGCAGGCTGGTTGGGTACCGTTCCAAAACTTAAACACTCAACATTCCCTTGAGCTGCAGAAGACTTGGCAAATTTTTTTTGGACTGGCTCCCTACATGAGAGACAGGCAATATCTTTGTATGTCTAAATTGAGCACAATATGACTGGTAAGTTGAGAGATGACATATGAATGACCCCTTAAATGCAAATTTGAACGATTCTTTGCTATTAGGTTTTTCAATAAAATATAACACATGGATTATTTTTTGGGCTCATCATTATATGATTGCCGCCTGTTCTAGCTTTATTGGGGAAACTTATAACAAACATTTTAAATTTTACAGAGTTTAGTCCACATTTAAACTGGATGGCACGCAAACATATTCATAAAATGACTAATTCAACATTTAACACGAATTACAGCGCATCATCCTGTCACAGAACAAGGAATCAGAAATCTCAGCCAAGTGAGTAAATGAAACAAAGATAGCAAAGTATGAGCAAAAAAATAAATTGGTGCCTAAAGACTATAAGGAACCTCACAAGGAAGTTTTACCAACTAAAAGCTATGGGTTAGACATATAATGTACCATGTACAGATAAGGACTTTATCACTAGATGTTACTTTATAGCAATAGCCAACTACGACATTTACTAAACCACCTAATACAAGCTTGATTAAGTTAGTACCAGCTCCAAAATCATCATGTGGTGTTAATTGATGCCAGTTTAGCACATAAACTAGATTGAGTTAGCACCAATGGACAGCAAAGTTTTCAACAGAGGTCATGTGCAAACCAATAACAATCAGAAGGAGTTAAAACAAAAATCACAATCACCTTTGAACTGGCGATCCATTGGAAACACTATTAAGATTTGTGTTGACTCCGGCTAGCTCATAAGTCGATGTCTCAAAACTAGCAGCATATTCAGCAGTCCCTTCAGCTGATGATTTCACATATTCTTTACTACCTTGCACCCTACATGAAAGGCAGGCAATATATTTCTATGATTTTATCTCTAAATAGAGTCCAGCGTGACTGATGGCTTGCAAGGAAATATTTTAAAGGACATAACTTGGGTGAAAACTTTAAGAAGTTTGTTTGCTATCGCATACTCTGATAAAAATATGATATTTTTACGGCCCAAAATCACATTTCCGTCCACATCTATGGAACACAAATTTTGTCAAGAAATAACTGGTGTATTACTTCATAAGAACTTTGGCACATTATACTGCGACAGATCATCATTGAAATACACGAAATTGCAGTAGTATAGACATATAAATTTGGCAAACTTTAAACAATATGCTGGGCTCAAAATACGCTATTTTAGGTCTGAGACATAAAACATTTTGACAACAACATAGTTGAGTAGATTCAAAATCATCATGTTGTATTCATATAGGCGACGTCAGTTAGTAGACAAGGTTAACTGACTGAGCACTGTTAGGCAGCATAACTTTTTCCAGATATCATAAGCAAGCTAATAACATTTCAACATGAGTTTAAATATTAATCGCAATCACCTTTGCACCAGCTCTCCCTTGGCGACATGATAGAGTGAGACCAAGCTTGGGGTGAGAGCAATTGAATTAAATTCGTGACGAGTGTGAGTAACTCTAGTACGCCGCAATCTTTTTGTCCCTGTGTTATAACAAAGTACCTCTGAGTCGTTGTACAACATTAGGATTTCCCCATTTCCCATGAACTTTACTGGTTCATAAAAGTCAGAGTGGGATTTTCTAGGATATAAATTTTCAATCACATATTGCCTGGTCCAAGACTCCTTCACCCCATAATCTTTCATAACCCAAATATCAAATTTTCTACTATCCCCGAAGACACATACAAAGAGACAACCTTCAACTACCCCCAACCTGAGATCATTAGAAATTTGCCTTTTAGTTCCATCGAGGCATGGAGGTGGAGAAACCGACCCGAATTCCTCAGTCTCAAAATTGAAAGAATATATATATTCAGAACTGCCACCTGCACTTGGAACCCAATGAAGAGAACCACGTAAGAAGGAATTAAAAGATGGCGCAACAAGAGCACAAGGTGCATACCCAATGCTTTTCCAAGTTCCCGTATCCATGTGATATATTTCAGCATCCAGATAGTCATTCCCTGACCACTTAACCTTGGGGTGAAAAGTTTGTAGCACCTTATACCGATTCGTTGCAGCGCAAAATCCAAGTCCAACGAAAGAGCCTGAATTCCTACCCTCACTTGCTGGGGGAATAGTGACATACTCTCCCAAAATGGGATTACATACCCAAATGGGGTCATCTTTTTCAACTCCAGATAAACAGAGCAAGCCATTGCATGAATTCACGAGGCCGAATTTGGAGCAGGGAAGGTTAATCTTGGGAGTAAGCATCAATTTATCGAAGCGATACGGATCGCGACCCCGCTGGTCAACATGGGTAAGGATGATTTTGCGTGATTCGGAGAGGGAAGGTATGGTTTTGATAAGTATGGAAGCGGAAGATCTTGCAAGTTGAAGCTCGACAAAGCGAGGATGCAAGATTAGACGAAGCCAAGCTTTGCAGACCCGTTTGCAGCTGAGAATAGACTTAATGGGAAGCCTTGAGAGAATGTCGATGACAATATTTGGAGGTAAAGTTTGGATTTTGCACTGACCCGTCCATGGCAGTGCCGGTTCCGTCTCTTCCAAACTGCTGCTAGCCAAATTGCCCGCACCCCTTTTCTTCTTGCGATTCATTGGGGTTTCTGCTCTTCGTCTTTCCACGACGAGTTCAGTTGCGATTACTAAGAACCCACAGAAATACGATTATTATCAGTTTATTATATATGAGTAAGTTAATGTTACATCCTCAAGTTTTGTGCCTTTTTCACTTTGACCCCTATTTTTCTAAGAATGACAATTCTTACCACAGGTTGGGCTTAATTTCAGTTTATGATCAGAAGATTATTAAATTTCGGTAAAGAACCGAAAGTTCTAAAATTTGAGGATGAATTGACACTCATATTCTAGAATTTGATACTAACAGTCTAAAATTTAACATTGGTATTCTAAAATTTGATAATAGCACAGTTCTAAAATATCATTATCAAATTTTGAAAATCCCATTGTTAAAGGGGAAAAGAAAAAGAAAATCCCATTATCAAGTATCATAATATTAGGATGAATCATTTAAGGAAGCTTTGGTCATTTATTAGAATTTTCAGAATATTCTGGTCATGAATTGAAGGTAAATTTTTCTTCTGATATTAAATTATCACCATTCTCTTTTTCTGCTTCTTTCTTTATTTCCTCCTTGCTCTTTTTAGGCAGGGGACCTTTTTTCGTAGACTTTTCGAAACGATCCTATTATTCATTTGAAGCAGAAGAGAGTTATGTGATATCCAAAGGCTTCCCACTAACAAATGGATCCCCCACTTTTTTTTTTTGTGTGTGAAGAAAGACTTTTGAAAGTTCTTTTATTATTTATTGCTAACATTTGAAACTTGAAAGTTGGATTTCGTAAGCAACTTTATTGCACTTTTGATGATCTAGACTGCTGCTTCTAAATTGAGGAGCAGAGTCATCAATGTCTACAAGAGGAATAAAGTGACGTGCAAGAGAAGATGACTTGTATGAAGAACAAAAACAGTAAAGGGTCTAATGTCTCCTGTTCATAGACAATCCGGGAAGATGGGAGACAGATTATAGAAAGAAAAAAGAGATAAAAAAAAAGTTGAGATAGGTGGCTAATATAGCATGCCAACTGCCAAACACCAAAAAAAAAGGGATGGTTACTACAATCGACGTCAAAATTGGCAGCACTGGCTGCTGCACTCATGTGCTTTATCCTTTGATTAGTATTTATTATTAATGAGTATGACTAAAAGAGTGTTTGGGAATTAGGAGAAGTGCTTTTTAAAAGTACTTTTTCGTAAATTGAAATAAATTCTTTCACATATTTATTTTGTATACTGTAAAATCACTTCTGAAACCATGATTTGATTTCTATCCAAACACTTTCTAAGAAGTTCAAAAGCAACAAAAATATTAATTTATAAATTGGGAAAATTGCCTGCTGCCATGGCTTGGCTTATAAAAAATACTGGCTCAAACTTGGATTCAAAAGGATGCTACTTATGACCATTAACCAGACGCAAAACTAGTCTAAGCAATCTAGGGGTTAAATTAATTGAAAAGATAAGATCATCATGATCAACTAGAATTCAATTTATGACTGAAATACTAAGAATATTATTATGTGATTTAAGCATTTTCTAGTCAAAATGGAAAAACAAGAGAAGTTTATGATTTCTGAATCAACTCGAGCTTTTCACGGAAAACTTCATTATTTGTCGTAGAAGGACTTACAACTACTCTTCTATTCCCATTTAAACGAAAAAAGTTTGCATCCCATGATATTTTGCAGGACATTGCTCAAATTTGTGATCGTAATGCTACAGACTTGCCTTATCAATCATGTGCATGTGACGAAAGGATGTGGTTTGATTTCAAGTCAGAAGAGAAACTTCATTATTTTTCTGGCATATAAAAAGAAACCGGATTGTTCATCTCACAGGCTCACCGCATCATCCCTCAATCCTCAAAGCAAAAAAAACCATGTAAATACAGCTTGCTTGGAACAAAGAAAGTGCATTTATTGGCATCAAGTAGCACAATTATCAGTCCCGCTCTACGGCTCAGTCTCATACTGCAGAAGCCCGAAGCCCCAAATACACATACATTTATTTTATTTAGATCTACCGATAAATTGGTAGTTTTACAGCGAACCAGAAGCATTTGCCGGACCAAATTTGATAGAGACACTGTTGACACAATGTCGTTCATCAGTGGGTGTCTTGAACCCTTCTCCTTTAAAAACATGACCCAAGTGACCGCCACAGGCTGCACATGTTATCTCAGTCCTCCTTCCATCAGGGTCAGGCTGGAAATTTGTATTTCAGAGATTACAAGACAGTTACAAAAGGGATAAAAGATAATGCGAAAAAAGGAAGAAGCAAGTGTGCACCAAACACTCACTGTGCGATTTATGGCACCAGGAAGACCCTCAAAGAAGGCAGGCCAACCACAACCAGAATCAAATTTGGTAGCAGACTTGTAAAGAGGAGTCCCACAGCCAGTACAATTGTAAATTCCTTCTTCATAAAACTTGTTATATTCTCCGGTGCCCCTCAATCTGCAGATGTTACCAGGGAAAGTACAGCACAGTTACGATCAAAACTCAATAAGCTGCAATGCCCTTAAGGGTCTAGACTATCAAAGCAAAGTTAAAATTTTGTTGGTCTTCTGAATCGAACACCGGGGCTAGTTATCTCAAAGATTTTTCATGAGACTTCAATTTTAAAAGAATTATGATTGTAGGTAAACAAATTTCCAATGAGCAGTGGCTGCAAGTTTCAATTGACGTTTGCATATTGAAAAAATTGTTCCTGAGCTTCAACATTCCTAAGAAAAGGCACATATGATGGAGATATAACAATAGTAGATGCATATAGCGACGGTAAATCTTGAGGAGAGCAATCAAACTCGCATCCTCTACCTATTGAACAGCGTTGCAGAATATTAGTATTAGTATTAAACTAAACAGCTCGCAGCAATGCATTTTGCACTTTCTCTTCCTTCTTGTTAAAATAGACATTGGATTATCAACAAATATTTAATGAAGTTTTGCACATAAATGGAAATCCAAAAGCTTGGATAGCAGACTCTTGTTCAGCCAAAGTTCAGCCACCCTTCCCCAAGGTTTTCTTCCCACAAGAGTAAAGAAACGAGAAAGAAGATTCCGATTACTGAAGCAATTATCAGTTCCGATTCAAAGTAGCAGAAACTTAAATTATGCCAGTATAGAAATCAAGCAGAACGAATTAAAATCAAACAAGGTAGCCAAAACCACCAAAAGAAAAATCCATTTGGAAGGAGTCAGTATCATATTTGATATAATCAATAAGAAAGTCAAATAGGAGAATATACTCAGTTCCCTTCTGACGAAGAATCCTAAACTGCTCCGGGGAGAGGATGGCCCTCCATTCGTCCTCTGATTTCTGGATCGGCGTCGGTGCGGCCATTGTGCAGTGTTGTCAGGACACCCCTTGCCTGGAAAGTGGCAACCAACAAGCACAAACAAAGGGATGAGGTATCACCACAGCCAAATTACAATAGCGATTCAACCTGGAGCGATATATATATGTACACACGAGCGCACAGACAGTAGGTTCTCCAATTTTCAGGGCAATTGAACTTGGACGGAAACTTGGCTTTGGACTTTGGAGTCGTTTATTTGTCCCGCTCCGGCAACCCAAGGGAGGGGCAATAAAGTCAAAATGTTAATTTTTTTTGTTTTTTGCCACCAATAAAGTCAAAATGTGATAAAGATTAAAAGGAAAAAACAAAAGCATATGACTAGACAAATAGTGTCTTTAAAAATTGGTAGAGCAAAAAGAAATTATTTACAATCTCCAGTTCTAATTATATAAGTTAGTTGACTAATTTAAAAAGATTAAAAAAATAAGTTAAATTAATTATTCGTAATAAATATATGTTGTCTTTTCAAAAAATCTTTACTAATCAAGTGTGTTGACTAGAACTATCATTATTAAAAGTACTATTCCTTCGGTCTTTAATATATGACCTAATTTTTTAGTTGATTTTGATTCTAAATGTAAAACTCATTTCTCATATTTATCAATTTTCTCTAAATTACCCCTATGGATACTCCCTCAACCATAATCAAGTAAAAAAAGAAGAGAGGATATTAAGAAAGATAATTATAATGTTTTAGGAAAAATATGTCACTTTTCTTATAATTAAGTAACTTACCTAACTTTCTTAATCTAATCAAATTAATTAAATGAGTCTTATATTAAGGACCAAAAGAGTATTTTGGAAAAAAAATGTATAAATATTAGAGACAAAGTGGATTGAGATCTTATATTTAGGGTCAAAATAAAAATTAAATGAAGTCTTATATTAAGGACTAGAGGTATTATTTATGTTTGGCCAAAAAAATTATCTATTTTTTAAATAAAATATTAAAGACAATTATTTATCAAATAAATATTTTTCTCTATGTTTGAGTTGTTGGACATAAATTAAAATATTAGGTACGAAAACAACATTTAGGTCCGTTTGGGTGCCCTCCAAAATCATGGTTTGGGTGGGATGTCACCCAAACAGTATCAATTTTGCAAAATGTGGTTTTGAAACCCAAAACCACGGTTTCAAGAGAAGTGAATACATTCTCCTTCTGGATTAAATTAGAGAGTATGATTGTGCCTGTCAGAGTAAATCTCAACAATAATATGACTTTAACATCTTTCAATTATTTTTTATAAACATATTTAATCTTATATCTTATAAATATATGTAAACTAATTATTTATTAATTATATTATCTTATGTATTATTAATTATGTTGGTAAAAAATATGTTATTAACAATTTTATTCCTTCAAATTAAAATATATCATAAAATCTATCTTTTATGTAATTATCATATTAACTTATGCTTTTTTTTAGTAATTTGTATATATAAAAAGTGCTTCTAATAACAACTATCAAAACACTCTCACTTCTCAAAATTACTTTTTCATAAAATATATTCTTCACAAAATATATTCTTCCCAGAATCGATTCTCTAAAAGCTATTCTCCAAACCATGATTTGGTTTTATCTGAACGTGGGCTCCAAAACACCTTCTTTAATACTCTTCCGATCCTCAATATAAGACCTATTTAACTAATTTGATTATATTAAGGAGGTTAGGTAAGTTAGTTAATTATAAGAAAAGTAACACATTTTTCCTAAAACATCATGATCATCTTTCTTAATACCCCTTCTCCATCTTCTACTTGATTATGGTTGAGAAAGTATCCATAGGGGTAATTTAGAGAAAATTGATAAATATAAGAAATGAGTCTTATATTTAGAATCAAAACCAACTTAATAATTGAATCCTATATTAATAACAGGAAGAGTAATAATTAACAATATTTAAATACTTAAAAAAATAATTAAAAATATTTTTTTAGGATTCTCTCCTCATCTTTTTAATATCAAGAAAAACCGTAATTCAAAATATAAATAATTCTCTTGCTAAAATATTTTTAATTTTTTTCCAAGAAAGCATCCTCCCCCTGGATTAAAAAAATGGATGGTTCAAATTGAATTTATACGGTCCAATTAAAATGCGCACCCTTTATTCATAATTGTGTACATCAAGATTATTTTTTTATCATTTGATATTTAAAATGATTAATTAACTTTCTATTTCACGTAAGAGTCATTTCCGACATTCAAAACTAATAATTAATCAATGAAAAAAAATATTCCATTGAACAAACTGTGACTCACGTCGTAACAATTACGCGGTTGAATAACTTCAAGTTCTTGAGATAGAATATTGAATTGGGAATGCAATTGAAAATCAAAATCTACATGGAATTTTGATACATACAGCGAGTGTGAAAGAATGAGGATCACCATTTACAATGTTAGGTTGTGATCGTCTTTCCCATTTGACCAAAGGCCACCTACCTACGTACTACTGATTCACAGTCATCAGTTAGTCAGCCATTAATTCTATCTTCACTCCTTCGCTTTTCCATACACCAATGACAACTTTGTCTTTCTCCTCAAGAACTTCTGTATTATTTGACGATTCATATGTCAGTTCAATCACCCGAAACTTGGGACCACTTATTATTCTACAGTTTAGACATGTTCATGCTGCAGAAAGTATATGAAACTTTGAGAGAACCACACTTTCATGATGTTCCTTGCAACTGGGATCATACCATCAGACTAATCTACTTTGAGCAGCTTAATAAAAGTGCCTCAGAGACTACTGACTAATAATGGGGGAGAGGCAGAAGTAAGTCTTAATCCAAGAATGAACCCTAGTGCAACAATGCAAAAGGCTTGAAGAGAATATAGATTGGAGAAATGTACCATTTGGGAGACAGTGAAGCTTCCATAAAGCCTCCCTCTTCATTCACTGTCAAGGAAGAAAGGGGGAAGAAAATCTCACTTTAAAGGTCATTATCATATATAATTCAAGAGAAAAAACATGGTCAACAGACCTACCAATTCAACCGACCTTTGGCATGCTGGAGACGGGACCACTATCGCTGCACTTCTCATGGAGACCACATGCTGACAGGACTGTAAATGAGAGAAGTCATTCCCCACAGAACGATGAACATCAGATGTGGTTGGAGATATCTCGGAAGTTGGTTTCTTGGCCCTTGCTAAAGAACTGACATTGATCTCGCTTGATGCCATACGTGTCACTGACTACATGATCAAAATTAAAGGCAGTGTAAACAGGTCAATCAAATGATTAAGCTACCAGTACCAAGTAATTCATTCTCCATATTGCATTGTATCTGTCAGGGTAAAATAAGACATCACATCTTGATGTGCTTTTGTATAACTAATTAATACTCTCGGGTCTTTAATGTAAAACCTAATTAATTTGAGTAAATTAAGGACGTTAGTCAAAGTGAATATGATATGGTTTTCTATAACACACTAAGCATCCTCTTAATTCTCTCCATACCTCTCTCACTTGATTATTGTTAAAGAAATATCAATAAGGTTAATTTGAAAAAAAATTAATAAATATATGAAGTAGGCCTTATATAGAGAACTAACATCAACTCCCCAATTAAGTCCTACATTAAGGCCCGAAGAAGTAGTTCATTGCACTAGGTGACATATTTATGGTAGCCACAAGCTGACTAAAATTCATCATTTATATAACCCCATAAATGCATTAACACGTATAAAAGTAAAAATTTAATAATAATCGTCATACATATGGGATTAGCTTAAAATAACTCCCCATAGGTCATTTTCCTATCACCTACTACGCAGCCAAAAAATTTTCCATTTGCCCGTCAATTTGAAACCCTTCAATAACAGGCCTTAATAAACAAATATAAAAAGCAAATAAGGTCAAACAGATATCTCACTCATCCTTACATTAGACAGGCTTTTGATATGAACAATGATAATTGTTATATCATCTGTTCGGCTTTCATGATCCAACCATAGTTTATATGATTCTCCAGCAATTGCAGCACATGCATCACGGGGATCCGCATAGCTTGCAACCTACATCATAATAGAAAACATGAAATTCATTGAGCAAAGGAAGGCAATCATAACATAGTTGGAGTTTTGCCTACTTCTACATCTGGACCACAATAAGCCAAGTTCAAACCAGCAGAAATAAAAGCATCTATTGCTCAAAATTAGAAATGCTGATTTGTGCAAGAATTGTCACAATTAATAGCCAAGAAGCAAGTGTTGAGAGATCAATTGCAACACTATCGATAGCATTCAACAAATCATAGATCATCAATTCATCGAAAGTAATGGACAATCATGCAAGAACACCAGCAATTAGTACCACATTGCTTGAACTATATGGAAATGTTATTTAACAGTCTACAGAATTGTGGCAGCTGCCACCTTTAATGAGCAGATAGATCTTTCAAAAGGCACATCCGAAAATCATCAAAGAGAGAGATTTATGGTAAGGTGACATGACATGTTGCTATTTGAATTTTGATACTCTCTTCTCTTCCCACAGAAGAAGAATTTGGCACATAAAAGTCTAAAATCTAAATCAGAGAGATTATCATAAACGTCCAATGATAGAGACAAGAAACGCCTAATAATAGAATGATACAAATAAGAAAGACAGTTATGTATCAACATGACTGAGAATAAATTGATAGGTAACATAAACAACAATTTTAATATGATTGAAGATGGCAAAGATAGATATGCACACTATGCCAAGCAATATATATCATAATTTTAATTGGCAGTTTCTATATATGAATCGAGAGTAATTCTGAACAAGCTATCTATGGTTGCCAAATTCCTCTAACATGGTGTTATTGCTACGAAAATCTTGTATCCTAGTGGCACTTGTCCTGGTCTACCTAACTGCTTCTATAGATAGACATCTACAGAAATTTAGCAGTACCACAGAACCATTAACATGGCCACTTGCAAACAATGGAGCATGGATCTTCTTATCCAGCCAAAAAAAAACACTAAAAAGAGCATGGATCATCAGGAAGCAGAGAAAGAACTAAGGAAGAAAATATAACATGTGTCATACCATATCAACAACGGTTTGGCTCGATAGGAACTCAAACACGCCATCACTTGCAACAACAAAAAATGGATGATTAGGTGTAAGCCGAACAATTGACACTTCTGGAATAGCAATGACACCAATGGTCTCTGCTAAACTATCCCCTACACTCCTTGTAAATGCAGTTCCAGGATACATCGCATTTGGAAACCATAACCTGGGAGGATCACAACCCTGGCTCTCTTCATCACCCCAAGTCTGAATGTTTGGATCCTTAAGCCCTTCCACTTGATCAACACTCAGCACCCTTGCCCCACAAAGCTTCACTCTCTCACATTCATCTCTTCTGAACGGTGTCTGATCAGAGGACAAGTCCTCAGCAACAATGCGGTTCCCATCCTTAACAGCTAAAACTGCTCGCGAATCACCAACATTAGCAACATATAGGGTGTCTCCAATAACAAGCACTGTAATTGCAGTAGTGCCGCTCATAGAATCATCAATCTCAGAATCCTGCAGTTCTTGATTAGTTGATACAAATGCTGAAGCATATGCTTTAACAGGGTCATCCAACAAAGTGTGGTCATTTGATAATGTCTCTACCAACCTATCTTTAACAAAGTTTGAACATTGACTACCAAATTGGCCGTGCCCATCATAGACACCAAAGAAATGCGTATTAGGGTCGTCTTGAATTTGTGTCCTAATGCAGTAACTATCTTGGTTTTCTTTAGTTGGCGTGTCAGGGTAATATCCTCTCTGCGTAAGAACGGCGTATTCCAAACTGAAGTTGTAGGACGGAATGGAAATGGACTCTAATGATTTCTGAGTAAGTATGTGTTTCCGCTGGGAACGGGAAGGACCGAGCTCTCGACAGTTCACGGAACCACCCTCTGACGGCGGCGGGTAGCGGCTACAACACTTGCCGTGTACACAACCCATTTTTCGAGGAGAAGCTGTGACGTTGGGAAGAAGACCTGAAGGAACCTTAAAAAGCTTAGCAACAACCCTTCTATTTACCGTAGCATTCATTGGCGGCGAAAGGTAGAAGCAGACAGGTAATTGTGGGTGAAAAAAGCAGAGTGCTTGCTTCGGAAGCTCCGCATTGTGGCTCCTAACGTACTACTCTTAGCTTTTCATGAACCAGAGTTTCACAGAAACAAGGGAAACCCTAGAAGCGAAATCAATCAGAAACCAGAAGAGAATTGAAGATTCTGAAAGGGAAATTGGGATGAGACAAAGGTTATTTACCTTAAGAAACGAACAATAGAAGAGAATTATTGGAAGAGAGAGCCCACAGATCAAAAGGTTGAGAAAACCCTAAAGGAAAGCCAAAGACAGCAGAGAAAGAAAAGGCAGAGACATTTGGGGAGTTGAGGAAAGGGAAGACTTTTTCAGAATAGAAGGAGCAGTGGGGTTCCCGAAAAGGAGAAAAAGAATTGCACTTTTCGTTGGGCAGTGAGTCTGAGAGCATCGAAGGAAACCCCAGATGGAAGAAGAGTCAAAGAGAAGGAGTCACAAGGATGGGTTTGTTCCGAAGACAGAGAGAGACAGAGGCAGAGAGGGTGATTTAAGATTCTATGTGTGCATGGCCGGGTTTGTCTCTGGACGAAGCCCTCATTCCAAGAAAACACCCTTACCCACAACACACGATGGACTGAAACAGACAAGGGAAGGGTTATTTACAGCAAAGGAGAAAACAAAAGTACATATTACTATAATGTTTTTTTGGGTCTAAGGTGCAGTATTTGAGATCTTTTGTCATTGTGGACTTCATTTTTTTTTTCCATAGCAATAACAAATAATCAATTTAACATTTTTTAATTTCTATGAATTTAATGAATGAGACGTTGTATTTAGAATTCAAAGAAGCAATAAACTAACAAATTATTCATTGATTGCTTTAGAAGATGTTCCATTTGCATGTGTGGAATATCTTTTGCTTCCCCATCCTTGCTTCCTACGTAAATCCTTACGTTGTCTTCTTGTAGAGATTCGTGTTCAAGAAACGCAGAATGTGCTCCGCCTAATTTTAGCCTCGCCATCATGCTTAACTATTCATCCACGGATTTTATTTCCAATCCAAGTGGTCACCACTCAGCAATAAATTTCTTCCCCTGATATAAGATTAATTGATTCTGTAGTAAAACTAAGTAATATCTGCCTTTTGAACATTCAACGGTGCTTTTCATGCTCATTTCCATATCAAGCAGAAAATAGCACTTCCACTCAAACTTGGACACGTTTTTTCATTTCGTGGCATCTCAAGTTAGTATGCAGATAAGATTACATTGTTTTAGATAAAACAAGTTTGATGTTATCCCATAAGACGGCAGCTCCATTAGCGGGGATATGATTAAAATAAGCATAAACCATAATATAATTAATAGCTGGTATTATTTCAACCAAGAAAATCCTCTCACTGATGTTTAGTGGAACTCTAACAGATCCCCACTAAAATAAGCTCTGGAAAAGGGCCAGGTAAGCAAGTCCAAAAGCAATTAGCCCTCTCTCTCTCTCTCGCCAAAATGAGGCCAATCACTCAACTTTAACATACTACAATAAAGGCCGTTTCATCCATTTTTGGTGGTGATTATCAGAATCAGAGCTGGACTGAGCATTTATGTTACGGATAAGTTTCGGTAAGGTAATATGGTAGTTTTTGGATATACTCATTATAATCTTTCTGACTGAGCCAACTTACAAGAACTCTTCCTTTCTTAACTGATGCGATACTGCAATGTGTGAGAGGTTTCGGTGAATTTCAGTCTTAAAATCTTTTTCGTTCTAACTTTCCACTCAATTTTTTTTTTTAAAAAAAATGATTTCAAATCAAGCTGCATTTTAAGATTAAAAGCTGTGAATCCGATGACAAAAATGATTCCTTTTTTTTTTTTTTGGGATTAGGCTTCGGCTTGCCGAATTGGTATCCCAAAATTCCAGATTCTTCAGTTCCAAACTCCAAAACCAAAATTCACAGAATCACCCATGACTTATAGTATTGGGTTGCGACAAGGCGTTGTTGCAAGAGGAGAAACCCAATTAGGATTGGGCCTACAACTTTATAGGCCCAAAATAATTTCTCAGAAGTCCAATAAAAATGACAAAACGGTGGCAGCAAAAATGCTGGCTGTGGGGTTCGAACCCACGCGCACTTATGTGCAGAAGATCTTAAGTCTTCCCCCTTAACCTCTCGGGCAAACCAGCTCAGTGAGAGGCGCGTGCAATACATTTTTCTTCATATTAAAAATCACACCATAATCCTCAGCCGCTTCCTTTCTTTTTATGCTTTCGGTGGGGAAACGGAGTTGAATCTTAAAAACACATGCACACAAATCACATTATGAGTGGTTGATTCAGAAAGACAAGTGGCATGCAAAGAATGGGGAGGGATTGCCATGAACCCTTGTGTACGTATTTGATATCGCCTTGTTAGTTGTCATTGTTATGGAAAGGGCAAGCCTTATAATTTGGAACAGGTTAGTCTTTCCCTTCTTGACTCCTTTTCCTTTTTATTTTCAACCCCTTTCCTCGTCACATTTAATGGGTGTTTGGAAGCACTCAAAAATGTTTTTTAGGAGTATTTTTTCACAAAATAAGACAGAATTTTTCACATATTTACTTTGTACACAGTAAAAACAATTTTAAAATCATGGTTTTAATTCTATCCAAACATTTTCTCAAATTCATTTTGGTTACTGTCCCTTTTTTAGATGTGTTTTTTTTTTAATACAACTTTTAATATATGTTTCATATCTTCTAGAGAATCATAAAGATAAGGTATTTATAAACACTCCGCAGTTTTTTTGAAATTGAAAAATGTTACATGAACCGTTAACTTTTTGAATTAATATCCTTTATAATGACTGAGATACCATCTTAAAATATTCTCAACTATCTTGCGTCACACTCCAACGAGTCTGCAGTCCAAATCATATGTCTTGAACGTGCTTTTGAAAAAACAAAAAACAAAAAAAGAAAAGAAAAGAAGAAGAAGAAGAAATATAAAAATAAACTGGTTTTCGAGTAACGTTGGATTGAAGAGTTTCTCATGCGATTAGGTGATATGTGGGGCAAGATTTCGGTAATGTTTTGTCACCGGCTGTCATTGTTTACAGAAGTATAAACTGTAACTGGATTGAAAGACACAAGTCGCGAAGATGACAATAAAGAAATCGACTTTTTAATGTCAATGAGTTCAAAGAAGGGATCAAACTTAAATGGGTATTACTCTCTCTTGTTATTTTTGTTCGTATAGTTTCTTTAACATAAACTCCGTTTAACATCATCATATTACTATTTTTAGACCTTGAAACATTATTGGAAATATTTTAAACGCAGTATTCTTAAATCGTATGTAACACTTTTGGCCGAAAAAGATCATATGCAACATAATTATAACATTTTCACAACAGCCGAGTAATGTGTCTGCACAAAACAATATTTTGACAGAGAAAGGAGAAAAGAAAAACCACACCACCAGGCTTTTTCTACAGTCCCTTTACGATTCTGACATTGATAATGCATCATGCAATTATACCCATTTTCATTACTGAGTGGTGACGATAACCATAGCCAGTTGATAAAAATATACCAAAACTGTAAATTTTTGCCTGCTTTAATCATGAGGGAGAGGGAAGAAAGCAGAAGAACAAGGAGGAGAAAGAAGAAAGAGGGTTCAATTAACCGCAAAACAAGAGCACTTTTACACCCACCAGTAGTAGTAGACAAAAGATCAAAAATCTTAGGCGTGACAAGCCTAAGTGGGGTGCATTATCATGATCATCCCAGTATCCCCCCCACCCTAACTTCCCCCTTTTCATACTATTCCAAAATCCATCCCTAGCCTCTCCCACTTTCTTCACCCACTTCTTTTATCTTTATCGATATGTTAATTATCTCCGAAAATTTCCAGGTAAACCCAATCACAAAAATAGACTAAATCAATTAACAAACACGTGAATATTTACCCCTTTCTTTCCTTCGCTAGTTTTGCTCCATATTCACATGCTCATCCATTGATTCACTCCACAACATTCATCATCCACTGTAACCAATCAATCACATTTAGCCATGTCATTACCCTTCACCCTCTCCTAAAATTTTCAACTAACTCTAACTTCCTAAGCTACCATCCGTCTCTCTTTCTTTCCCTTCCCTGCAGCCGCCACCGCTTTCTTTATCTTCTCTGGCCTTAAGTACTTTTCCGGCGAGCTGTAAATGTTTGAAAGACGACACTACCTGCTGCTGGAAACTGGTCCATTGCATAACTCCGGTATTTCAATCCCAGAGGCTCCACTGCTCCCACCACCTGTGTCCACAACTCATTGCTGTAGCCACTGGACGACGTTGTGGCGACTGACATGGTCGCCGGCCGGAATATCTGAACCACCTTCCTCAACACATGGACTAAATCGTCATTAATGGAACCCACGCATTCGAAGCTTGCATAACTGTAACCATCCTCTGGGGTGACATGAATGGTGGAGTACCAATCACCATCTATGCCATTCATCGAATATCCACAAGGATCAAATGCAAAATCACAAATATAAGCTTCTGGGTTGATTTCATTGATGCCCGTTAGCTCCGTCATCTCCTTCCCAGCAGAGTCGCCGGTTTTTCCGTCTCCAGGGCGCCGGAAAAACTTGCGAGCAAGGACGGGGTCAAGCCCAGTCATACAGATCTCCATAGTGAACAATTCATTTTCAAGGTCATGGGGTATATGGGACTCATCACTAGCAGTGAAAACATGCCAAGAATGAGATGACTTAGAGGGCATAATCGAAGCTTTTCTATAGCAGAGATTGGCAGGGATGGTTTGTTCCAAATAGGCGACTTCCTCTTTGAAGCTAGTGTGAGGGAAAGGCTGTGACTTAGGGAAGATGAAGCTGCCTCTGGTGTAGCGGCAAGAGCACAGAGTAAGGCCTAGGTGACGGTGAGAATAGTAGATCAAGGGAAGAATGGATTTGAGAAGTTGGGTGGTCCCACAAGTCTTGATGATGATCTTCGTTGGGTAGACAAAGAGGCTAGATTCTGATAGAACATAGGCATCAAAGTATGAGTTGCCAACAGCTGAAACCACCGTGCATTGAACAGCTTGCAGGATTTCTTGTAGTGATTCGAAATCAAGTTTTCTAAGACCCATATGAAGGAAAGCTGGGTCATCACCAAAGAAATGGAGCTCCAGGCGTTTCTCGAAGCCTTCAAAACCAGAGACAGCCATGTTAGGTGAGAAAGGATGAAATGGAACAGAGCGAAACAGAATAGTTTCAGGGGATAGAGGGATTAAGGCCACTGATAAGAGAAAGATTTGATTAGAGTGTGGAAGCAAAGGTGATAGAAAGGATCGGTGGTCAATGGAATTTATAGGTGTGTGATTGTGAGTAAGAGTGAGAGTGAGTGTGTGGGGAGTAGTGAGGGTTTAGAGGAGAGCATGCGGGTCATGGAACCAAGAATCATGATTGTAGGCATAATGAAGTGAATAAGATGATGATATGCAACAATTTTGTAGTGTTTTAAATTTCTGCAAAATCTGCCTCTTCCCAGACACAGCAACAGGAAACGGAATTTATGCCCACGCTTATCAATTCCTTTGATTTTACTGTCGCTGCCTATTCTACATGTCTATTTTCCACTCACCTCAATTACTTTTTATAACCTTCTAGCTAGCATCCAATACAACACATCACAGTAGTTCATTTTTGGTGTTCTCCTTTCTTAATGAATACTGGAATTCTGGTAAGAAAAAAGTATATTGGAATAAGGGATTTAAAAATACATCCATTAGTTTTTCCAACTCAAGTTTATAACGTATAATAGTGGAGCAATAACTGATTTAAGTACTTAATTAGGGAAAAAATTAGCATGTAAAGTTACTTCTCTGTTACTTTTAAGAACTTGATCTTGGTAAATGCCAGACATAATTTTGTTGAAAGTTGAAACCATATCATAAACTTCTTTTTATTCACAATCACTATATATTGAAGTCTCATCAAGCGTCCAGTAAGGTTTAATGAGCCAAAATTCAGTGTTTCAGCAATAGTATTTGAATGATAGTACTGATAAAAGAAAAACATAATCATAGACAAGGGCTACATGTTTTTTTCACAAGACAACAATTATCAGCTTTGACCATCACAATTAACGCTACATTACTAGCAATGGAGGTTAAAAACACAGCACAAGCGAGTCATTTTGTAATTTAAAAGTAAAACCATAAGCCAAAGACCCACTCACTCGGGGCTATGTGCTATGAGCACATCCTAATATTGATAATGGCTACTGCATAATGGAAAGGTGAGAACAACTCCGTTGATGGAGACAGCGTTGTCTATTCCCAAGAGAGCAGGTGCTAATTAACAAAAACTTGACGTGCCCAAAATGTCATCCATATTTTCGGTTAGAATAATAATTATCGTTCTGCATCAGAAAAAACTATGGGGAAAATAGCAAAAGGAATCAGGCGTGGCATGTAAATAATGAGAATATCCTTAAATTAGGGAGTCCCGTACGTGAAATGAAAAGCACCCAACATCATTTTTAGTCTTCATGCAATTTCTTGCACCTAGGTGGCATTATCATTATTTTATTTATTTTATTAACCTGTTTTCTATATTTTTCAAAGCATGGATGCACACTTGTTAAGTGCTTCAGCGTTCAAGTTTAAAAGGATTCTCTTTATCTGCCAAGTGATTAGTCTTAAAAGCTTGAAGTTAGAACAATCGAATAAACACTTATCATTATGCTACCCTGAAAGCTGAACTTCCTAAAGATGAAAATTAATTTTGTATTCTGAATTTTATGCTATGACTCGAATTAATGTGCAGTTCATTTTTGCATTTTCTTTTGACCGAACCTAAATTTTAACATGATAACTTCTGTTCCGACTTGATCCGACATAAAGTTGATTTGGATCATAATGTTTAGCTAGTTTCATATGGGAAGGAACAGTGAATTTGAAGTAAAAGGGAGTAATAAGTGCTTCTTGGTCTTTTAGAGGAAGTTTTTGAAGCTGGTCTGCCTCTGCCCACATCTAAAACTGCCATGCTCATCATATATGGTCTCCTTGACTTTCAATTTAAGAGTATTGTCAAGATCATATCAATAATTCAGCAGAAGCTTCTCCTCAGCTAGTATAGATAGGAAGAAAAGAGTGGTTTTAAAAAAGATAAAGAACGGGAAAAGCCAGAATAGCAGCATTAAATGGCAGAAGCGGAGTGAATAAACTAAATTTTGGGTAAAAAAGAGAAAGGTTGGGAAAGGCAATGATGAAAATTTGTGAGTTCAGAATCAAATTTTTCAGTTTAAGAGGTAGAAATGATGCAGAATGTATGGCGTCATGAATAAATCTATGGGGTGTGGCTGGCAGCCTCCATTATGACCACAATTCACCTCTCTTTGTAATGCACGCGCACCACCAAACTCACACTATCACCGAAGCCCACACTTTCGCCCTCTCACTGTCACAAGCAAGCCAAGCCAAGCCACAGCATACAATGCAGACACAAAATACGCACGCAATTGAAATCCAATCACAAAAAAATGGTCAACCATTAGAATCAAATCTTACTTTAAAAGACGTAAACAAACTCTTAACGAAATCCCACTTTTTTCATCAAAAGCTTCGAGCAATATCTTTCCCTCCTAGGATTAATTGCTCGGGAAGGACTTTGGTAATTTGAAGAGACAAAGAAAAGGATTCTCAGAAAGGAGTAAAAAGTCTAAAGTTTGAAACCCGCCCTAATCCTAAACTTTGGTCCCACTAAAAGTAGTCCCCCTTCCAAACCCCTACAAGCCTGAACCTGAAAGGCACATCATCCCCTCATTCTTTAGCCCAAACCATAATAATGTAATGCAACCCCAAACCCCATGATTGGTCCCACTAATGGAGCCGTACGTGGCCCCCCTTCACCCCAGACAGCCACCGTGGATGACCCCACTGGACTACACATCATCTAGCATGTGTCCCAACTTGATAGCACTGTAGGGTCCATCTATGTTTGAGGCGTTAATTGGATTTGAGGGACATGTTGTCCCCACGGAGCCCTTGGCTGCAAGACAATGGCATAAGTTGGCATGGAAGCAAGCAGGCTTTAGCCGCCATACTTGCTCGCATGCGCATATTTTGGCACACATGTGGCCAAATGGGCACAACACGGGTCAGTCAGTATGGTAATTTATTTTAGTGTGCACTAATGAGCGTCCCAGAAGTGGTACTGTACCATGCGCACAAGACTTGGCAAAATTGTTTGGAGGGAGCCCACCGGGCTGCACCTTAAATTTTGGGAAATGGTTCGGTATTATCTTTTTAGCATGAGCTTATGAGATAGTGATCAGAAGCCATAGAAAATTATGTCTTCTTTCAATCTTTTTAGATGGGCGCACATCTATATCAATTTCAATCTCTCCGGAAGCCGAGTTCTTTGGCTAATTTAGAGCACTAAGGGATGGCTGCTTGGGGGAAATGGACAAACATGTGGTGGGCAGCAAAACATTTCTGACCTTCGGATGATGTTTATGTTTATCCATTCTATTTAATTCTATTGATGTGAGCACAAACTCGGTCCAAATAGAATCTTGATGATTATAAGAAACACGCTTATGAAGATCTTAGACGGATCAGCCATGCAAATAAAATAAAGAGGTTTAGTTCTAATTGGGTCGGTCTAGATTATTTTTTATGAGCTTATTCTGCAGACTAATAATTGTTCATATAGGATTGAGATTTGAGAAGGAAAAGAACGGGTGGTAATAGTAATGTAGAACTAGAAGAGATGGATCCCACTATAATCATTAGTGATAGGTATGCTAAGATTTGTTTAGCCAAACAAGACATGTTCTGCACTTTTTAGTGGCCAACCTATTGGAAAGTTCTCACAGTCACAAGAAAAAAGAAATTGGGGGAGAGGGCACTTACCTCAAGGCTGAAGGTGAAGGTGACCAAATAATTTGAGGTCGTATATTTTGGAATTAATTGGACACCTCGAGCCCTGCCAATGCCAGAGGTGAAATCAATCTCGAAAGATGGAGATAATGGATTGAGAAAGCAAAAAATGGGATAATCCATCCTCCCCCATACACGCCACATCATTTCCCTCATGCTTTAACCCAATCCTCTCCTTCTCTTTCTTTCTCTGTGAATAATACAAACATATGCGTAAGAGTGTGTGTCTGTCATTTTGTTGCAAGATTGGAATCTCTCTTGATTGCTCCACGCAAGCATCATTCTGCAGCGTGGCCCTCCCCTGCAACTCTCTCTTCATCTCGTTCTCCGTCTCATCCGTTTATTTTTGCCGTACGATGCAATTCTGGGGTACAGAGAAATCGCACTCAATCATCATTCATCCCCACTTTTGCTGCCTTCAGGCTGTCTTGTACGCAAAATGCATACGGAAAGAGCATTTTTCCCAGTTTTTACTTTCCCTCCAAAATTCCTCGATCTTCAATTCGCATTCATCGTCAGCTCGCTCCCTCTTCGGATTGCCCGGGGAAAGATAAGGAATTAAAATGAAGTTATTTCATTAAATTAAATCACGACCCTATAGCTTTAATAAAATGATAAATTATACAAAATTTTTATAAAGCTTGAATTTTTGGTCCAAAAATTCTGAATTATATACGAATAATTCTTTAAATTTTAAAATTTAATAATAAATTTTTATATTTGCTCAAAAAATAATAAATTTTTAAGAGTTTTAAAATTAAGGATAATAATCTACTACCTCCTATTCTTGATATAAGAGCTTATTTGATTTTTATTCTGGTCCTAATTATAACACTCCAATTCATTTTGTCTCTTATATTTATCGATTTTTTTACCAAAATATTTCTCATAATAATAGTAGTTCTAATCAATATATTTGATTAGCAATGGTATTTTAGGAAAAATAATACTCCCTCCGTTCCTTATTATAAGAGACATTTGATGCTTTATGGCATGTTTCTATATATAAGAGACACTTAAAAGTTGCATCTACTTTTTTGTGTTGATTTCCTATTTTACCCATATTTATTGTCTCCAACTCACACTCTCTTTCCCGCTCATTTCTCTTTCTTTCAATAATTTAATTGTTCTCTCTCGTGCTCTCTCTCCTTATTAATGAGGGCATTTTTGGAAAAAAATTATATTTTTTACATATTGATTGCTCTTAACTAATTTTAATTGCTTTTTTTATCAACGTAATTCAATTATTCGTCTCTTATAATAAGGAACGGAGGGAGTACCTATTTATTATAAATAACTAACTTAATTAATTTCTTTAATTTATTTAAATTAGTCAACTAGCTCTTATTTTAAGGACAAGAGGTAGTACTATCAATTGTATATTCTTTAAATTTTTTTATTTATGAAATTTACAATGTGAACATTTTTTGGATAAATATAAGAATCGAGGGGGTTTATTGTAAAGCTTTATAGGATAGGAAG